GGTGTGTGTGTGACACTGCTGTCTGGGATTAAAGGTGTGTGTGTGACCCTGCTGTCTGGCCTCTAGGGCTAACTAGTGGCTTAAGCACTGCACTCCGATCTTCAGGCACATTTTATCTGTTAGATTACAAACAAAATATCCTGGCTCCTTCTATTAGCTTTAAAAGACTGTTTAAAATCTAAAAAGTAGGTTGTAATGAGTAGTCTTTTACCGGAATGTTTCCTCTTGCAGCTGCTCTAACTGAGTCTGAAGTTGCAAATGTCTTCTTCCTGCTGGACTGTTGGGATCTTCTATAGAATCTGATTGATTGAGTCGTTCCATTAATATCTGATTTTCTGCCAATAAACTACTTTTCTCCTCCTGCAGTGCTGCAACCTGTTGGAATTAGAACAATGGTTATTCAATTCAGACTCTTGTGAATTACCATTATGAATTAAAGTATCTGTCTGATTATTTATTTTTGAGATAGATTCTTACTATGTAGTCCTTGCAGACCTAGAACTTACTATGCAGAACCAGGCTGGCCTCTGTCTGCTGTAGATCTGTCTGCTGAGTGCCACCTCACTTGGACAATTAATCTCTATTGCAAACATCTACATTATTTTGAATGCTATTCATACAAAGTAATATATAATAGTAAGATTTTTCAAAATTAAATTCTATTTATTTTGAGATAGAATCTTGCTACATTGTTCAGGTACTTCCAATTCTTGGGCTCAAGTGATCCTCCTGCATCAGCCTCCCAAGTAGCTGGGATTACAGGTCTAGGCCATCATACCTGGCTTTACTTCACCAATGATATACAGAGGGTAAATAAGCACGCAGAAAGATAATAATCAATAGTCGCCAAGTAAATGCAAATTGAAGGCACAAAATATCAATTCAACTCTCATGACGATGGATAAAATTTAAAAAGCTTGAACCAACTATTGGCAAAGGTGAAAATAAAGTCTCAGATACCTGTGGTAAGAATACAAACTACAAGGCCAGCCTGGCCTACAGAGTGTGTTCCAGGATAGCCAGTGCTACACAAAGAATACAAATATTTCAAATACTTTGGAAGACATCAATCTTCTGAACCCACAGAAAAAGCTAGATGTTGCCATGCATGCTTACAGCTCTAGTATTGAGGGACTGTGACAGGTAGATCCTGGAGCTTGCTGCCCAGCCAGCCTAGCAAAACTGTGGGTGTCAAGTTTGTGGAGAGACCCTGTCTCAAGTGAGTATGGTGGGCAGCAAGAGAGCAGAGCAGCAGGACATTCAGCATTGCCCTTTACCTTCTCCGGAACAGGTAAACACCCTGCAACACACACAAAAGAAAAGGACTCCCACCCTCATGGAAAGTGTGAAAGTGAGTTCACTGGCACAATATGAAAAATCAAGCACTTTTCTTTATTTCTTCCGGAATTTTAATATTCATTTATAATGAGTTTAATTAAATTCCAGAAAAGAGGGTAACATCTTTATACAGCATACTCTTCTAAATCAGAACCCTATTTGCTTGTTTTTCTTTTTTGTCTTATTAGGTTATATTGCAGTGAAGCTGACCACGTGACAATCCCCAGTACATTTGGTAGTGTGTGGTGGTACACACAGAACTTCTCACCTGCATATCCAATTCATGGCACCTTTGAGCAATTTCTTCCTTTGCTGACAAAGCTTCGTTTAGTTCCTCTGTAGTTTTCTTCAACTAGTTAAAAACAAATAAAGTTTCACTATAAAGTGAAGACATTACATAGGTGTAACACAGAATTAAACATTTTTATTTCTTGGGAGGTAGTGTAGGGAAATCAAGAACCTCTTGGTAAAGATGGAAAATAAGTCACTTTTATTTTTCTTTTGTTTTTGGGTTTTGCTAAGACAAGATCTCACTATATAGCTCTGACTGCCTGAAATTCCCTACATATACCAGAAAGAATGGCCTTAAACTCAGAGTTTGGCCTCATGAGTGCAGGGATTGATAAGTATGCCACTACACCTGGATTATTCTGATTCTTAACATCAAACATTTCCACGTATATTCCCTTATTATAATAAATTCTAAGTTAGCAAATTATGAAAAACACTGATTAAAATAAAATTTTGTGTCTTTATTTCATATATATAAACCTCTGTCTAATAAAGATACCCAAGAATGTACCCTCAATAGCAAAGAAACAATACCACAAAGAGAAAGGCAAATTTTAACTTAGGTTAAAATTATATCATATCCAAAGACTTTCTTATATAACATTTAGAAACCCTGAGCCAAAAAAACAAAGCAAAAGATACAAAGTTCTGCTCATGCAGAATACTGTAAACTAAAAATTGACTATAACAGCATTTCACGCTTAAAAATACATAGCAAAGTTCTTTTCATATACAGTTGTTCCTAGCCAAGTGTGGCAGCACATTCCTTTAATCTCAACACTTAGGGGTCAGAGACAGGTTGATCTCTGTAAGTTTGAGGCCAGCCTGGTCTATGCAGCAAGAATAAGAATAATATAAGAAGAAAATAATGACTAGAAAAGAGGGACTATCACAAATTAAATTTGTTTTAAAGTGGGCTATGCAATACCACCATATTTTTTCTGTACCACATTAATGTACCACATTTCTGTACCATCATTTCTCTCTCTCTCTCTCTCTCTCTCTCTCTCTGTGTGTGTGTGTGTGTGTGTGTGTGTGTACACACATGCTCACCAGAGTGTGCCTACCAAAGTCAGGACAATAACGTATTGTGTTTTCTCCTTTTACCAACTGGCTCCTGGGGAAAGAACTTAGTTCATCATACTTGCCAGCAAGTGTCCTTCCCTCTGGCCCATGCAGCACTACTTTTACTACAAAGTCTAAGCTTAATTATAATGTATAATATCAATTAGCAATAGCTTAAGTTCTTAAATTTAGGCAAAATATGAAGTATTTTATCAATGTATTCCATAAGCAATTTCAACTGTGTTCTTCTCACTAATACCTGAAATTCACCTGCCTCAACTGTTTCACAAATAAAGACAATTATATACCTGGCGATCCAGATCAGCATAGGCATCATTTCCAGCAGAGACAGGTGACTCTTTACTCATTAGCTGAAATGAAGATTTAAACCATTATGAGGCAAAAGACATCCCTGGCAATACACCAAAATGAGCACCCAGAAACTACTAAAGCAACAAGAAATTAAAGCACATAAGCAAGCAACTGTTTTCTGTAATTAATTTTTCTGACTATTTTTCACTCCCAGTGATGTCTACACTTAAAATTAAACATGTGAAATCTGGTGCTCATTTTCTCTGAGAGCTCTAGCTGTAAGAATCAAGCATAACTTATTCTTAACACTGTGTTAGGAGCATGGCTAGACATTTAAAAACAAGGACTTTTCAGTAATAAGAGCGACACCAAGTACTTCTTTCATTCTAAATAATCAGTGTGGAAAGAGGGAGTCATGTTCTCCTACGGTGTGCCCACTGTTAAGCTGGCCATGCTCCACCTGCACTTCTGCAAGGAATCCTAATTAACACAGTGGATCACAAAACAGCTGTGGCAACAAAACCCCCCAAAGTTATGAAAACAGGAAAGGGAATTGCTGGGAAGGGGTTCAGTGGGAGAAGAATCAGAGAGTGGAATGGGGTGTCAAAGGATCAAAATGTATTCATGTATAAAACCATCAAAGGATAATTATATAGTAATAAATGATAAAATCTGTAACAGTATTCAGAGAGAATATTTCTAACTCAAAGGTGGGGAGAAGGGGACATATAGTTTTCTTCTTCTCCTGTCTTCATCCTTATCACAACACAGCAGTTACTGCTCTAGGAAAAGCTAGACATTCATTATAAATGAACCTTCTCTCAACTCGGAGGCATTTTATCTGATTTTATGAAGACCTACTCAGCTTCACTGAGCTCCCAGTGCGATCTTGCTTTACTATTACTAGCTTTCTTGCTTATTATTCTTAAATTTTATAGTTTACGGTTTAATTCCCTTTCTTTTCCTTCTTTGGGGATTTTCTCTCCTTCCATTAGGACTCCAAAGCTCTGGCTTTTGTGAATGTGCTTGTTTCCCCTCTTCTTGTTAAGACATGATTTCTTATGACTGACCTTGAATTCCCCACGTAGCTGAGAATGACTTGAGCTTCTTTTTTTTAAAAAAAGAATTATTTTGTTTATTTAAAAAATAAAAGACTATATTATTTGTGGTGTAAGGCATGTCTAGCCATATACATATTGTGGGATGGTTAAATAAAGCTAAATAACATACCCGTTTCCTAAAATATATGTTTTTGAGAGAACACATTAAAATTAACACATTAATTATACAGATGGGTGTCACTGTACTATCTACATACATGCATGAATTATGCATTGATAATTTCTTTCCTTCTTCTATCTTGCTCTCTTCCCTTCCTTCCCTTGATACCCATCTCAGACTGTTGTAACTCTTCTACTCTCAGGTAGTTTGGTTTAGTTAATACAGGGTTTCACGTGGCCCAAGCTGAACTGAAATTCACTATGCAGCCAATGGTGACCTTGGACTCCTGATCCTTCTGCCCCATCTCCTAAGTGCAGGTATTACAGGCAAGTGCCGTCATGCCTGGCTTCTTTTTAGTTTCCACCTAGGAGAAACTATGTGATATTTGTCTTTAGCTTATTTTGTTTAACATGATGTCCTCTAGTTCTAACTCATGTTACCTTCTAATTCTTCTGTCTCTACGTCCTGACTTTGGAGAAGTGTATGCTAACCAGTCTGGTTTATGTCCTAGGGACAGAATCCAGGGTTTTGTGCATGTCCACCAACTTAGTGATCCCCAGTCCTATCACTGGTTTAACCAATTACCTTCTCTATTTAACCTAGATTTCATAACTTACTCCTCAGTGACTTTCACCAACATTCTTCTGACCTCATTATTTTTAACTGACAAAAATCTTAATTCAAGGTCAGTCCAACTACTTTTCTGCCCATATATCCTGACTAGTTAAATGCTGAGAGGAGACAAAACAATATTTAAAAAAAAAACTCAAAAGAAAAAACAACCAAACCAAAACCAACAAAAGTGGTATTACATTAAATGTTTCTAATCTCCACCAAACTTCAAATATGCTTGAAAGTAAATAAATGCTCCCAGCCAGGTACCTGTTTATCCTCTTTAGATTCTCTTAACTTTTCCCCCTACTACTTACTATGTGATGTATATGAGTGTTTGTCTACATGTACATCTGTGCATCACATGCATCCCTGTTACTATGGAGGCAGGAGAAGGCAGTTGGTTCCCCTAGGACTAGATTACAGACGGTTCTTAACCACTTAGCCATCTCTTCAGTCCCTTTTCAATCCTTTTCTAATTCTCATCCTGCTTAACTCCTTGATTCCATAAAATCCCACTGCCAGGGAAGATTTTTTTCCTATGGTCCAATCTACAAAACCAGTAGCACTTCTTCTCCTTCTTCTTCACCACAGGAAATTCTTCCTATCCAAAGCCACTATGGCTACCTATGCTCTTCATGTAGTCTCTTACAAGCTCCCCCAAAGCCCTGTTCAATGTATTACCAGTCTTCTTGCTTATAAAACCCTCAGCCAGGTGGTGATGGTGCACACCTTTAATCCCAACACATGGAAGAGGTAGGTAGATCTCTGAGTTTGAGGCTAGCCTGGTCTACAGAGTGAGTTCCAGGACAGCCAGTGCTACACAAAGAAACCCTGTCTCATAAAAGAACAAAAAACAAAACCCCAAACCATTAACCTTGATCCCTTTTTCTTGTGTGCTCTTCCTTTCAACATCTAATTAGTAAAAAAAGACTCCTTGAATAGCCATTCTTGGGGCTGAGACATAGCTCCCTAGTAGAGCATACTTGAGGACCTGGGTTTGATCTCTAGTACCATCCGCTACCCCAAGACCCCCAAATCAATAAACTTCAAGTGATACTTCTCTAAAACATATAACAGCAATGGCCAACAAAGGCATAAAAGGATGCTCATTATTATCAGTTACTATGGAAATACAAAACAAACAAACAAACAAATACAGTAAATACAAAGTACTATTTATACTTACCAGGAAAGCAATCCCATAATTCCATTTCTGGATACTGAGGCTCTTTCAGATCACAATGGGGTAATATACCCAACCCCTAGTTTCCTAAGTTAAAAATGCATTGAACACATCTAACCTACTGGACAAACAGATTCACAACATGCCACACTCTTGAATATTGCTAACCTTTATGACTAAGTAGCTAGATTCCAGAAAATGCAGCACACTGCTGCTGCTACAACATCTCCCTGGACTTTCTCCCTTCTCTGCAGGGTCTCACTTAGGCTGCCCTTTATTTCTCCCTCCCGAGTGCTTTCCGTTTGCTTGTTGGACTCATCTCTCTTCTTACTGCACCTCATCCTCCCAAGTCCAGTCTGACTCCTCTGAGTGGCCTTATTTAATGCCCCCTCAAAGCTGTTCCCTGTTCTATATTCTTCCCCCACTCCACGGTACTTTTAAAACAATATGAATTCTTTGTGACCGTTTTCTCTCTGAGACTCTCAGAGAGAGACACACTATCAGAGAGCATAGCTTAGTATTCTTAGTAGCTGCAACAGTCTCTAGCGTACATTGGGTTTGAACTGTTTGCTAAATGAATAAATTCAATATCCACACAAAAGACACAATGTACTTAAAACTTAATTAGAATACAGGTTGCACATAATAAAAAGAGACTTTTTGTTTGTTTGTTTTGGTTTTTCAAAACAGGGCTTCTCTTTGTAACAACCCTGACGGTCCTGGAACTCACTCTGTAGACCAGGCTAGGCTCAAACTCACAGAGATCCACCTGCTTCTGCCTTCCAAGTGCTGGGATTAAAGTTGTGCGCCACCACGGCCCAACAAATATAGAATTATTTCTCAAAACCATTATCCCTCTTGCCTGAGCCCTTCTTTTCTCCTTTAACTCATCACAAATGAGTGCAGAGCTCTAACCAACGTACCTCTTGAATGGCTGTCATGACAACATGCTGAACAGATTCCTCCATCATCATAATGGCTTGAATGTACTCTGAAAACAAGAATAACCTGGGATGTCACTGTTCAAGTTAAAAGATAAGTCAAGACTTGAAGTTTAATACTCTATAAACCCTTGCAAGCAGTTTTCTGTGTTCGGATTCTTCCTCAGAATCCCCTGTTCATGGCTACTCTGCCCCAAATATGTGCCACAGGTAAGCAAAGTCTGAACACTGAACAGCACTAACTGTTTCCCAAAGATATTCTGTTTTTGCTTCACATGTGTTTATTTGGTTGAGATTGGGACTTGTAGCTGCCTTTCACTCACTTTGAATCTTAGGTTGGCCTTGAACTTGTGATCTTCCTGCCTTGTCTCTCAGAGCACTTGGATTATGGGGATCTATGGTCACACTTGGCTCCTCTCACCTTTTCCTGCTATAGGCAAAGGTCAGGGAGCTGAGCTTCGGCATGAGTGCATATCAGAGTAAGTCAGGCCCAATGTCAGGGCAGAAAGGAACCATATCACTTTTTCTACACTCTCAAAGTTGACTTTTTGATTATCCTTTGTTACACTGTAAAAATACTCTGGTCTTATGTGACATCAAAGCACTAAGTTATATAAATTCTCAAGTTTCTTTACTATAGAAAGAAATAAGTAAAACAAATTTAAGACAGACACTGAACCCGTAATTGAGCTACTATGTACTCCTGGGCTTTAAACTACTATCCTGCATCTATATATGAAAAGAAGAACCACATTATTCTCATTTTCACCCAGGCCCAAACCAGGAGAGTCTCAGTAAAGTCACTCTAGAAGTAATAACTTTTTCCTTTGACACAGACCTGTTAATAGTTTTCATTATTTCCAGATCCAAAAATGGAAGACAGAAGTATTAAATAAATGGACATGACAGGTACCCTAAAGTTATAGTACAGAGCCTCTTACGTATGAAATGTACATTACCATTGGACCTATCTACTGGAATGCTGAACATAAGCCTCTCCCCAGAAGGTAACCTGGTTTCTGTTTGAAGTATTTTAACACCATTTTGATACATGACATCAAACACAAGAACTAGCAAATCTAGGATGACTGTCAGGTCCTCATTATCAAAGACGATGAATGAACATGGAAGGGAAGACACAGTGGCACTGCTATGGGGAAGGGAGGCTGAATGGCAACTACTGGAAACGAGGTGAGCAACAGGAAAAGAGGTCAGGACATTAGTAAGTATGAGAGGGGAAGCGTTAGTTAAGAAGCGGTGTTGCCACGTCAAGGCCCTTCCCCGCGAACACCGTAAAGTACTAAATGATAAGATGGTGATGACAGCTAAATTAATATGCACTATTTTAAACCTTAAAGTTAAAAATATAATTATATATGCTTATTTGGTACATACCCATGAGGCAATGCTAGAGAATGAGGCATACAATGTAAGGAGGCTTATCCTCAATTTTATCTGTTCCAAATTTTTTTTAGTATGATTTAATACAAAGAATTGAAGGTTTTCCCACCCTATACCTAGCCCATTCATTACAATTAAGAAATTTGGCAAATTCTGTAATATTTATAAGTCCTAACCTTCTAATCTATAAAAGGTATTTTTTGTTCTGTTATTGTTTGGTAGAGCAGCAGACTGAAGGCAGACACCATGGCTGGTGAGATGGCTCAGTAAGTAAAGGTGCTTGCCAAGCATGTCGGGGGACTGCACTTTGATCCCAGGATCCAGAGTAGAAAGAACGAACTGACTTTCACAAAATGCCCACTGACCTCCACATGCACTCCGTGGCACAAGTTGTGCTCCCCATAAATAAATGTTAAAAAAAAGAACCCAGGCAGTGATGGTGCACGCCGTTAATCCCAGCACTCAGGAGACAGAGGCACATGGATCTCTGTGAGTTCAAGGGTAGCCTGGTCTACAGAGCAAGTTCTAGGACAGCCAAAGCTGATGCTTTACAGAGAAACCCAGTCTCAGAAAACCAAAAAGAAAAACAATGTTAAAGAAAAATCCTACCACCTCCCCCAACAAACCCAAAATACACAGTTGATGTTATTATCAGTGTGTCTTCTATTTTTTTAATGATTTCTTCTCTTTTATTTTTTCAAAGGAAACAAACTATCTTTTTTTCATTTTACACAACAATTGCAGTTTCCACTCCCTCCCCTCCTCCTATTCCCTCTGCCTACCCTCCACCCCAGCCCCCCATCTACTCCTCAGAGAGGGTAAGGCACATTGCTGTGGGGAAGGTCCAAGGCCATCCCTACTATATCTAAGCCGAGGAAGCTATCATACAAAGAGAATAGAATCCCAAAAAGCCAGTACAAGCAGTAGGGATAAATCCTGGTGCTACTGCCAGTGGTCCTGCAGTCTGCCCCAGCCATACAACTGTCACTCACACTCAGAGGCCTAGTTTGGACCTATGCTGGTTCCTTCCCCATCTGGCTGGAGCTGAAGCTCCCATTAGCTCCAGCCCCATCATGGACCTGACCTCTTTGCTAATATTCTCACTCCTCCCACTCTTCAGCTGAACTTTGGGAGCTCAGCCCAGTGCTCCGCTGCGGTGTGCTTTCTACTATTAATCTGTCTTTTAAAATTTACCACTATTTTATTTGCCCCAATTAGAGGTCAAAAAAGACAAACAAATACATATATCAAGCTCTCATCAACTGCTTTTAAGTTTTCCAATTGGAAACAATGACTAAATACAAAGCAAATGTGGACACAGTTTCATTCAGTCTTCATAACTACGAGATTCTGGAGATAAGGACAAAGGCAGAGACTATCTCATCCACAGGTAGGTAGTCAATTACTGAAGCAGACTTCTAAAAGCCCCTACTCTATCTACCGACACAATGTATTCACAGTGACAATTAATGATTAACAATTAAGAGGCTCACTTACATGATTCTTAGCTCTCTACTGTATTCCTGAACTCAGAGAATACGGCAAAAAATCTGGGTGAGAGATTAAGAATCCTGTTCAACTGGAACCTTCTTCCTGTCTAGCTTTTATAATGCTGGAATGTGCTTTACAGAGCTGTTTTAAACAGCTGTGAACTCTGCTAATAATATCACCTTGCCAGACAAGATGTGATCACTAGCGCAATAGTGGCCTGAGTGTTATGAAAGTAATCAACCATTTTTAATGTAAATTTTAGCCTTGCTCCACAGTAGAAAATCATATTTGGTATTGTACTTCTGGTCAAAAGCCCAAGGCTGGGAGGCTATAGTCCCTGGATGGGGTGATCTCACTACTGTTGTTTTGCTATATGGAAATGATGTCATACAGTCATCTGAATATTTACAATTATACATCTATGTTAGTGCTGTTCTCACTCTTGGTCAGAAAAGCTTCTGTTTTCAGTGGGCAGTGATTAATACAGAGACTCACAACTGGGTAAGTGGCTGAGAGTGCTCAGTCCTAAAATGAGAGCTCTGATCATCCCTCTAGGGCTCCAGGAACAGGAAGCACTGGGGACAGGAAAGAGTGCTGTGAATCGCTGTCTTCTGGACACAACACGGCTGGGGAACCCACACCAACAGTGGCTATCTGGATTAGATGGGGGTTATCAATGTGCCATCGCTTAAATTTTTTTTTTTGTAAAAGAAATCCAATTTAAGTAAAGCAATTCTAAAAATGGGAGTCGGTTAGTGAGGTGAGGGAAAAGCCCCAAAGTCTATACTGACTATTAAACTTATTCACTACTAGAATATGAGAAAAAAATAAAAACAAGTAAATAGAAACTTGTTATTGCATTATCAAGTGTGAAGGAGAAAAGAGTGAATGGGGTAGGGAAGTTTTGAACTAAGAAGAAAAAATCAAAACAAAACAAAAAACTCAAAAACTTAGTACAATTACAAAATACTATATATTATTTTGAACAGTTCCTGGCCCCCTGTTCTCCAGCAATACTTCTCGGAATTCTTTATTTACTAACAAATACAGTTTTGTGGGATTTTTAAGGCACTGAAAGATAACTTGAGTATTTCTTACTCTGAGCTGTTCTTAACCAGCTAACCCATGTCTAAACTCCTTACCTCCCACCTTCACAGCATTTATCTGTAAAAACTTGTGCTATGATTTATCTTTCCTCCACTCAAGCTCTATGCAGGCTTGAGGTTTTGTGTCTCTTTTGGTTGGTACTATAGCCCTCTTCCATAATATCTGTTCAAGAAGCATTTGTGACATAAATCAAACCTATGTTAGGAAGATGGCCCAGTGAGTAGGAGTGCGGTGCCAGCATTAGGACCCAAGTTAAAATCTCTAGTACCCAAATAAAAGATGGGGACCGCGGTGCATGCCAGTGACCCCAAAGCTGAGAGCAGACAGGCAGAGTTTAGGAACGCTCTAGCCAGCCAGCCTGGAAAAAAACAGAGAACTTCAAGTTTGTAGGACACCCTGTCATAAAGAATAAAGTGGAAAATGATAGATGAAATCCAGTGTCCTTCTCTAGCCTCTGCATGCAAATGCATGAGAGGCACCTACCATGAGCATGCAGCAGAACACATACATTGACAAAACACACCTCCCAAAAGGCAAAAGTAATGCTTTTTCTTTACATACAGTAAATTTGAATGTATTTTAAATAAGTGATCCCCATACAAATAAGTCACATTTTACAAACTCTAAAAATAAAAAAAAAACATTATTACCCATGTATCAAAAGTGGTCTTCAAGTAATTTTAACAATGCCACAAAATGTTAAAACATAAAAACACTGCACTTTTTCTAATATCTGCAATCTGAATTTAACTTACTAAGAATTTACTAACTTCTCTAAGTCTAATAAGTGATTTTACTAATTTATTGTCCATATATGGTAAATTATAAATTGAGTATGACTTATCCCATAAATGCCACCTAACAAGTGACATTTTTACTAGCAATGGAAAATTAGTTTTCTCCAATGGGTCTCACTGGGTATATTAAACCACACTGAAGGATAGGTTCCATGCCCAGCACCGTATGGCCACCACAAAATGAACTCAATGGTATTGTTGTAGACTTTTTGCCTCTTATTGCTTTGTTTGATTGGGCAAAATACTTTTTCTCACTCATCTTTTGACTGTACATTATGGTTGATCATCTTGTGTTTTTATTCTTTTAAAGAAGAGAAAAAGGAGGAGTTGTGTGAGTAGGGAGATGGGAAAGGTATGAGAGGAGTTGGTGGAGGGGAAATCATGATCAGAATATATTGTATGAGAAAAATTTTCAATAAAATAAATTGTGGCTGTGGCAGGTATGGTGGCAGATGCCTATAATGCCAGGATAAAGGGGCAGGCAGATCTCTGTGGATATGAGGCCAACATGGCTTACATAACCAGTTCCAGGCCAGCCAGGGCTACATAGTGAGACACTCTCTCAAAAAAATAAAATTGTGGCTATAAGAACTTGTAATATGAGCCGGGCCGTGTTGGCGCATGTCTTTAATCCCAGCACTTGGGAGGCAGAGGCAGGTGGATCTCTGTGAGTTCGAGGCCAATTGTGTAATATATAAGTGAAAAGGAATTATTGTTTCAAAACTATCTACATCTACATATCTACATATATATTTTTTAAAAAATCACATTTCCATGAAATTAACATTGTTTGAAACATTATTATAAGATATTGGGATGATTTACATGTGTTGTTACTTATACCCCCTAATAATCTTGTGAGGTAGGTACTAAATGTTCATTTATTAAGAATATGAAATAAAGATTAGATTTGCCCACTATCTCTCCATAGACTGTAAGCACGCAACTACATATTGAACATTACAGACTGTGTTCCTATTCTGAAGAACAGAAATAATTTCTAAGTTATCATTTTGCAACTAAATTAATATTATAAATAAAATAAATATCACCATTTGTAGTTAAAATGCATTAAAAAGAATGCACTGAGGTTGGGGATATAGCTCAATAGTAAAGTACATACTTAGTATGAACAAAGTCACCGGGTTCCACAGCCAACATAAAAAAGAGAACAATAACAAAAACTATTCAGTTAAATATAGTCTTAGGAAAAGGGATGGAATATGACCATAATCAAAATTATTGACTACCTTTTGGAACTCATTTAAACATGAAGGCAAAGCTGTAGAAGATGGGTAGCCATGGAAAGATGCCATTTATCCTGGTGTTTTACATACAAAGTATCAATATATATCACTTTCATTAGTTACCTTGCTTCTGTTCACAATTCACAGCACAGCCGAGAATGAGCTGGAGCATCCTTCCGAGCTCTGCTGCATCAGAATGCTCCCCAATAAGGTTCACATCAGGAAGGGTAAAATCATTAATCTGCTGTCCTAAAATCTGAATGGAGACAAAGAGATTATAATTACACTCATATTTATAGCACCGAATAAAATATTTAATAGAATTAGATTTGCTATAACAAGAAATTCACTGTCAAGGCCAGAATTGTTCTGCCCAACCTCACTCCCAATTTCTATTCTTATTTCCTACACCTAAATTACAACTATGGCAACTTGTCTCTAATCTGGTACATGGCATGTACACTGAACAAAAATCCATATACTATTGGTCCTCCTTCTGTTCTAAGAAAGCTTGGATGTTTGATCTATAATGAATTATAACCAGAGTGGTCTAAACTAAAAAACATCCAAAACATTGGGATTAAAGAAAAATTCACACTACCAACAGTGAGATTCCCCCTTGCTACCTTCATTTTGTCTCTAAAAATGTTTGTAGTAAGATATTCTTAACAGGAATGAGAATGGCAGATCCCTTTAATGGAGAATATGGTCCCAAATGAAATAACATATGCAAAAAAATGGGAATCTCTGTAGGGTAACTTGTCAGTGAAAGCCCCTAGGGAGGCAGACCAGTTGTTGGTTGAGCAGCCTACTTCCATCCTTAGCACCACATAACCAGGCATGGTGGTCCGTGGGTATAATCCCAGCAATCAGAAGGGCAGAGAAACAGAAGTTCAAGGTTATCCTTAGCTATACAGAAATATACCATCAACTCAATTAAACTTAATTCCTCTCCTGCGTAGGTAAATCACTCTCCAGCAGTAATTAAAAACAGGAAAAAGGAACTGTTCTGGAGACCTCAAAAACAGCAGCTCCGTTTCTGTCCTTGAGTCAGAGTTGTACTTGGTTCCATCACAATTCTGTCCTCAATAGAGGCCTGAAACACCAAAAACGTTCAGAGGCACTGGTTTGTGTTCTGGTTTCTGGTTATCATTCTTCTAGGTTTACATAGCAACCTAATGAGCACACTGCCTGGAAGCTAAGCATGATCAGGTGCTTCTCTGATCCTTGAAGCTGGGCCAAAATCCCAGTCTAGTCACTAGGATGCGAAGGTGTTAATGAACACCTTGTGTGGGGACAACTGGCCTGACAAGCTTACCTCCCATGCCTCAACCCAGTTAAGCCTGATTAGCTCCTAAACAGGGACTGTCAGGGGCAACCCTTTCTTGCTTCCTTTCTCTTAAGTTAAGTTCTATAATAAAGCTCCTTTCTAAAACTTCATTCATCTTCTGTTGTTTGTGAAATTCATCTTGAGTTCACAACACAAAGGACAAAGAAGCCACTAACCTGGGTAGCTTTAGTGGTGAAGGACCCTAGTCTCACCTGAGTGAAAAAGGCCTCTCATATTTAAGGGCCTCCCCTCCCCTGCTTTTCTCCATTTCAAAAAGATATGTATCTTTTAAATGTAATGGAAATGTCTACTGGGAAGAAACTGAACAGAAGGGCTGGAAAATGAATAAAATAAAGATGTGCTCATGGGAATAAAAAATATAATAGGATGCTGCAATGGGTAAGCAAGAAAGGAATGCAGTTATCTCAAGAGTAGATAAAACACACAAGCAGTAAAAAGAAAATTTGATTGAGTAATCAAAGAAATTTGAGTAATTAAAGGGTCAACCCAGGAAGCTTAAAGGTTCACTGCGAGTTCTACAGAATAAACAACAACAACAAAAAGAAGTAGAAAAATTTCCTAAGACTAAAACTATTAGGTATTTAAGTTATTCAGTTTTTAAGGATTTGCTAAACGTTAGCCAAGCATAATAAAGCAAAATCCATGCTAAAAATACACCTTGCATCAAAGCACATTTTCATGAACCTTTAGAAATAAATAAAGACAAATCAATCCTAAATAAATAAGTTGCCAGAAGGGAATGGAAACTCACATGAGAGATTTCAATAGCAAATCTAGAGAATCTGGTAAACAATGCTGCAATGGCTTCCTAATCTCAAAGAAGAAATGTCAAAGCTAAATGTTAGCACTTACTTTTCTGATGATGGCACTGTTAAAATATGCTCATCAATATAAAAGTAAACCATGCCGGGCGGTGGTGGCACACGCCTTTAATCCCAGCACTCGGGAGGCAGAGGCAGGCGGATCTCTATGAGTTTGAGGCCAACCTGGTCTACAAGAGCTAGTTCCAGGATCACTTCCAAAGCTACAGAAAAACCCTGTATTGAAAAACAAACAAACAATCAAAAATATATAAAAGTAAACCAGAAGCTGGACATGATGGGCATGCGTTTAACACCAGCATCCAGAAGGAGAGGCAGGTCGAGGTCAGATTGGTCTACAGAGTGCACAATGTCTCAAAAACAAAGTAAACCAGAAAAGAGAAATGCAAGTATATGAGTGGTTTGTGTGTTGCTTTCAGTGGTTAATGAATAAAGAAACTGCCTTGATAGGGCAGAACTTAGGTAGGCAGGGAGACGAAACTGAATTCTGAGAGGAAGAAAGCAGAGTTGGAAAGATGCTATGGAGCTGCCACCACAGTCACACATGCTGAATCTTTCCCAGTAAGTCACTGCTACGTGGCAATATACAGATTAATAGAAATGGGTTAAATCAAGATGTGAGAGTTAGCCAATAAGAGGCTAGAGCTAATGGGCCAAGCAGTAATTTAATTAATACAGGTTCTGTGTGGTTATTTCTGTGCTAAGCTAGCCACGCGGCAGGAATGAACAAGCAGCCTCTCCCTGCAACATATGAGTCCATGGAGGGAATGTGAGAGAAAGAGGAAGAGGAGCTCCTAGACTGAATACGAGAGGCAAAGACAGAACATAGCTTATTTACTATGCTTGTTGATTCTAATTAAGAATGAAAATGCTTATGTTTTATTGCAGGAATCTCAATACTCCCTCTGGGAGCATTCACAAAATAGAGAATATAGGCAACACTTTACTTTTCTAGCTTTGAAAAAAAAAATCCTGAATTTTAAAATGGACCTCATCTAAAGGATTTGAGTCAGATTATAAACCTTCATATTATTTCTGTAAGTACATTTATGTAGATGTCTACAAAACTGCTACCATATTGTATATACAGTCCTAATAAAAACATTTTTATGGTTGAATACCATTTGCCTGATAAATACTTCAAAATTTCCTTGTCCTAAGACATGTGGCTAATTTTCAATTTTGCCTCCTATAAAATAACACGGAGGTGGACAGCTCTTAAGTAGTTTTATTTTATTCTACTTTTTTGAGACATGAGTCACTAAGTTGCCCAGGTTGGCTTCAAACCCCTAGGATCAAGAAATTCTTCTGCTTTACCCTCCTGAGAAGCTACACAGTTTAGAAAAATTCTGAAAATATAGTGTCAGGGTTGGGTTGGAGTGACTCAGCCTCAGGAGGCGGAATCAGGAGGATGAGAAGTTCAGTGTCATCCTCGGCTACATACAGAGGTAGAGGCCAGTCTACCTACAGGAGATCCTGTTTTTTATTTTAATACTGTTTCAAAAGATGTATATTTTGGGGCTGGAGAGATGGCTCAGAGGTTAAGAGCATTGCCTGCTTTTCCAAAGGTCCTGAGATCAATTCCCAGCAACCACATGGTGGCTCATAACCATCTGTAATGGGGTCTGGTGCCCTCTTCTGGCCTGTAGACATACACACAGAAAGAATATTGCATACATAATAAATAAAAAAAGATGTATATTTTACAAAACTTTCAAAATAAACAAGAATTCTACCTTCATGAAATATATGGAGCAGGGAAAAGACATATAAAACAAATAAAGTAACTTAGAAAAAATACATAATTACAAATAACACTGAACAGTGAGGCTAAAAGGGAGCTTGGCAGTGAATCATGTAGTAAAGACTCATGAAGTAAAGCTGCAGAACAAATGCCAATGCTCAACACTTCAGTCCCTCTCATCAGCACTTGGTATACATAACTTGGTATATATAAAAGCACATCAAGAAAGCTCCGAAGGTGCCTGTCACCTGCAGGGACTAGACTTACCTCCTCTCTGGGCACAGTAAGCATAGCTGGGTCATGCTAACTGGGACATAGAATGATGCTGCAGACTGAAAGTCCAAAGCATTGCCAAGGAAGGTTTTGTGGAGTATAGTGGGGTAAGAGGGTGAGAAAAACAGAGAAAGTGAAGAGGTATCAGAGTCTGGGTTCCTCACTGTGAAGTGCTGATGACAGCACTCCATCTGGTCAGAGTGCAGCACCAAACTACATGACATGCAGAGAAATAGTTCCTAAAATATCACCATCATCGTTTCCTTTCCACTTTTTTGAGAAAATTATAATTTTTAAATTTCAAAATAAGCAAATATGAAGCTCAGGGCAAAAATGATTACTTCTCATAATCCCCAAAGATCTACTAAATATTATTTCTTAGTATCCTTACAGGTAACTTCTGGTCAATGAACAAAAAAGTCACCCAAACAGTTATGGTGTTTTGCGCACTTGTTCAAGATGTCTAATAATCCAAGTGCTCATTTATATATTTTAAATATCACAATTTTCTTGAAAATCAATACTGATTTTTATATTATTTGAGATGATTACAAAATTAACTGTCCACTACAATAAAGCATTGTAGGTGGTTGGAATTGAACAATGACTGTGTCAGGTCTGGCCCCAACCTTGTTTCATAACTAATACTATAAAGGGATGAGCCAACAAAATAAATCTGCATAAGACAAAACTGTAGACTGATCCTGTAAGAGTGAACCACACAAGTTGAGTCTGGTGGTACAGGCCTTCAATGCCAGCTGCTTGAGAGATCGATGCAGAAGTATATCAGGTTCAAAGTATGTCTGGGCTAAAGGTCAAGGCAACTGGGGACAAATTAACAAAACCTCATCTAAACAAAACAAAACAAAACAAAAAAACCAGAGGGCTAGGGGTATAGCCCAGTGTGAGCACATCTGCCTAGCAGAACAGCACAAACAACCCAAAAAAACATGGAAGACTTAACATGGAAATTAATGTAATCTCTGCTTTTCTCCTTTACAATCATCCTGACTTGACAGAACTACACAACAGTGAAAAGTAAAATTGCTCACCAGCTACTGTTTTAGCAGTCTAAGGATAAACTAAGGACAACTTAGTTACGTGTCGTCGCAGAAGAGCTAAAGAAAGCTCCATTTTGAAGGTCTAATTGATTTTGCTGATGATGATATTAAAAGACATCCCAGTACTCAGAAGATGGAGGCAGAAATATCAAAAGTTCAAGGTCAACCTAAGCTACTTATTGAGGTTGAGGCTAGCCTAGCCTACATGAAACTCTGTGAAAACAAACAAACAAACAAATAATCAGGCAGGACATGATGACTCATACCTAGTACACTGGCATAGGAGAAGTGGGGCAGGAGAACTGTCCATGCATTGGAGGCTAGCCTGGGTGAAGTGAGGGAGTGTCCCCTGAGCCAAAAGCATCCGGCTGCACCTTCATGCAGAAAAGATCATCCAGTTGAGCTTGTTGATGACTTAAACCCCGGAACAGGAGCATGAGAAGGCACAGAAGTCTCATCTGAGTAGCCAGCTATTTCCTACCACCTACCTTAACTGCACATGACGTCAGAGAGGGGTAGTATATATAGGGCAAGGAAGACTATATTTATCTATGTGGCTATGGAAGCCCTCTCCCTGCTGGGTAAAGGCTTTTCAGGTGTGGCATTTTTCAGTAGTAGGGAGAGACACACCCACATCCCTTCAATAATCCTTACCTATGTTCTCTGTAAGGAAGCACAACAAACTCATTGGTTTCGAAAGAGTGAACTTTAGTGGAATTGTGTCTCCATTTGTCATTGGGACTTTAAGAAAACTGGTAGATGTTGCTTACATCTCTTCCTGGAAGGAATTTTAGTAATGCTGAGCTGTAATGTCCAGTGAGTTTCTGGACAACCTGTATTACAGGGTAAGCCTTTCTGAAAACCCATGGAAAGGACTACAGAATGATACCAAAGTTTGAGACTTACATTCTAGGCTGGATGTGATGGAACGGTGATCCTCAGCCTTCCTGATGCTGTGACCCTTACATACAGTTTCTCATGTTGTGGTGAAGACTCCCAACCATAAAATTATTTAATTGCTACTTCATATCTGTAATTTTGTTATGAACTGTAATGTAATGTAATGCAGGATTATCTGATACGTAACTCCTCTGGAGTCAAGACTCACAAACTGAGAACCACTGTGATAAAGTCCCTCACTAAAATGGAGAAGATAGATACTACAGATAGAAATATGAGTATCTTGCTTGCAAGGAAAAAATGCCAAGAAAATAATACATATTTCTGGGGAATGTTATGTCCTATCAACATCTGTGATTATGAACTGAATTAGTTCTGCTATGTGAGTATCTCCTCAGCAATGCCTGTGTTCTGATATACCTGAAGGATGAGGTGAGGTCAACTAGGGTTCAGGAGGTGGCTGCTGAATAAAAGACAAGCAACAGGGCCAATCACAATGCTCCAAATGAGCTCTAAACTACCTTGACAAGTGCAGAAAGAAAAAAATGGTGCAGTATAAAACAAAATTTAACAAATTTTACTAACTACGTACAAGCTACTCATAGCAATGAAAACTACTGATATGTTTACCACTTAAGGGATGACTAGTTATTTGAACCAGCATCCTCAAAGCTGCACAAGGGGAGAGAGAAACTATTAATTTTGACATGTTTTTTTCTTAAGCTTGAAATTATGAAAAATTTAAATCACTGTAATATTTCCAAGTAGAATGAGAAAAAGAATTTTACCTCATGATTGTAATCCAAGATTCCTTTTAAAATTTTCTTTAAATTACTTATCTGTTTAGAGAGAGAGAAAAAAAAAAGTGGGTGAAAGGTAAGCAGAGATCAAAGTACAGAATAAATTAAAACTCAAGTGACTCACAGAGCAAGTACAAGCTAAGTATTCCTAGACCACAACCCTGAAGTCTCAAGTGGGCCAAACTCCAAAAACTTTTCAACAGCACATTGGTACTTTAAACCATTTGGACTTTGGAGCATTTCAGAATTCAGATCTTGAGATTAGGAATGTTCAACTGGTCAAGTTTAAGCAACTTCTCTAAACAAACAAACAAACAAACAAACAAACAAACTCTAAATTCTCCCCAAAAATTTCTTCTGAAATCTGAAACACATCTGGCCCAATTCCCATAATGGATATTTAAACTGTATGAAAAATAAAACTTAATAGGATATTTAAAATAACAACATCAGAAAAAGACTATTGTTTAGTGATAACACTATGGGGAAATAAAGAATACCTAACAGATTATACAGACTTTTGATAAACAAAGGAAATAAATTATTATTTTTAAAGACCTGAACTTAAATGTGTGCTATTTTCTCTAACTTAAGAGTATTAAACAGAAACTACTGCCAAAATTATCCTTGGAATTCTTTTTTAAAAATTAAAAATTAATTTACACTTATGGGTGTTTTGCTTGCATGCATGTTGGCTCCCCTGGAACTGGAGTTACATAGAGTTGTGATCTGCTGTGAAGTATGGGAAATTGAACCTGAGTCCTCCGGAGGAACAGCAGTGTTCTTAACTGCTGAGCCATCTCTCCAGCCCCTTGTGGTCTTAATCCAGGAAATGACCTCCAAATTCCTCCATCGTCAAGAAAAGGCTGTTTATTTTTTCTTTTGTTTTTTTGTTTGTTTGTTTTAGTGAATATCAAACAAAGTAAATAATTATGACCCTGGCAGCATGGGCCTTTAATCCTAGCACTACATGGAGGCTCAAGGTCAGCCTGGTCTACAAAGTGAGTTTCAAGACAGCCAGGGGTAAACATAGAAACCCTGTCTCAACCTCCTCCCACAAAAAATTACTCTTGTATCCTGAAATACTAAAAGAGACTAATATTAAGCACTGCAAAAAACGCTAGTGCTTTAAGGAGGACCATATATAAGACAAGAGGAGGAATTTTACGGTGTTGTAGGGTATTTATTAACTCACTCTAGAACTTAAGTTCACGAGCTATTTTTATCTGAATGAAATGACAGGGAGATTAACTGCGTTATTTGATTAAAAACTCTTAAGTTCTCAATTGTTTTTGACCCTCCTCATACAGTTAAATTTGCACTGGATTAAACGTGCCATATCCTGCTAATCATCCATGTGATCTGGTTGAATTTGTTCAATGTTAGTACTAGTACATTAGTTACATCTCTTCCTTATATAAACTGTTTTGGATTTAGGATTGATGATGCTCAACCTGTAGCTGGGTATGTCCTAGAACAATACATCCTAGAACAAAAAGACAATACAGTTTGAGGCTAACAAATGAAAAAAGCTGAATTACTCAGTTGCAACCTTCTGGGTTAAAACATTTTTTAAAAGATTTATTTTATGTGTATGAGTGTTCTGCTTACATGTATATGTGTATGAGCACCATGTGTGTGCCTGGTGTTCTCCAAAGTCAGAAAAGGGTACAGGATCTTCAGAATGGGAGTTACAGATGCCTTTGAGCCACATGTAAACTGCTGGTTCTGTAACCTAGGTCCTTGCAAGAGTAACAAGTGTAACGAGTGCTCCGCTCCTAACTGCTGAACAATCTCTCCAGCCCCTGAAAACATTTATTTTTAAAAGAGAAATAAACTGAAAAGTTGCTTATTTTTTAACAACAATAAAACAAGCATGGTGTGCTTGCTTATATGCCTGCTAATCCAAGAGGTAAAGGCAGGAAACTGTGAACTCAAGGCAGATTTAGGCTGTACAGCAAATTATCTAAAAAACAAGACAAAGCCAAAAAAAAAGACAGTATCATAAATAAACATTTTGTATTTCTGAAAAAAATTGTATTTGGAAAATATATCATTTATTTCCTATTTGCTCTTCTAAGCTGTTAATTTGTCATACTTACAACACCTGAAAGTAGAACACCTTAAAACTGATACAGTCATTTAAGATAGTGGTTTTCCCTATGGCAAAAGGTTACATTATTTTATTTTAACCAATGGCATATACAGTTGAAGAAGTGATTAACAGAAAGGTTCTTGCACTTGTCAGAGAGAGTAACTGGTGGAGCTGCAGTGTGAACACAGGCTCCCTGACTCCAAAATCCAGCCACTAATAGGCTTTACTGACTTACAGGATGGCATATCCTGGCAGGCAGTGTGTCAAGTTACTACTAATCTTCAATTCCATATTATTTTGTTATAAGCTTCCTAAATAACCTTCTAATCTTACTGGAAATATCAGATAAAAAACCAAGTATTATAAATGTGGTGGTTTGAAAGAAACGACCCTAGGGAGTGGCATGACTAGGCGGTGTGGCTTTGTGGGAAGAAGTGTGTCACTGTGCTGGTGGATACTGAGGTCTCCTTTGCTCAAGCTCTCCTAGAGTAGCACACAGTTGCTTCCTGTTGCCTGTTGATCAAGATGAAGAACTCTCTCAGCTACCTCTCCAGCACCATGTCCACCTGTATGATGTCTTCCTTCCCAACATGGACTATACCTCTGAAACTGAAAGCCAGCACCAATTGAATGTTTTCCTTTATAATAGTTGCTCTGGTCATGGTGTCTCTTTACAGCAATAGAAAACCTAAGTAAGCAATAGTAAACAGTAACACAAATATTTAAAGATTTAACAGGTGTTAACAACAGAAAGAAATACCTTTAACCTCCAATTGTCTCCCACTTCAGTTTTGATTCTGTTTAGCCAATTATCATCAAAATATGCAGGATCTCTGCAAATAAAGAAAAGCTGGATTAAGATCGTGTAGCTGTCACGCTTACAAAACACCCAATCCCATCTCATGTCATCATTTAAGTGAGCCATAAAATATGGATATGCCACATGCCAGCATTAAATGATCCATGAGACCAGATGTAACACATTTTCTAAAATCAGTTTAATTAGTTTTAGTAATAAATTAGGTATATAAGATATATTACAACATGGATATTTAAAAAAACTAAAATACACATTGTTAATATATAGTTAATATATTCTAAAAGTGAGTTATAGCTGAGTAAACAGAACTAGAATTGTTAATAGCATAAAGCTATCCAAAGCCAGTCAAAACCAGTAACATGCTTTTTTTTCTTTTTTAAATTAAGAATCTTTTAAATACAATCTTTTCTCATTTTTCATGGCTATTCCCATTCCGGCTCCTTCCCCTTCTCCCTCCTCACCCTTCCCCTCACTCCACTCCCCTCCACTCCTCAGAAAGGGTAAGATTTCTTATGGGGAGTCAACATGAATAATGCTGCTATGAACATAGCTGAGCAAATGTCCTTGTGGAATGAGTGTGCATCCTTTGGGTATATGCCCAAGAGTAGTATTGCTAGATCTTGAGGTAAATTGATTTCCAATTTTTTAAGAAACTGCCACACTGATTTCTTAAGTAGCTATACAGGTTTGCACTTCCACCAGCAGTTGAGGAGTGTTCCCCTTACTCTGCATCCTCTCCAGCATAAACTATTTTTGGTGTTTTTGATCTTAGCCATTCTGACTGGTGTCGTTTTGATCTGCATTTCCCTGCTGGCTAAGGATGTTGAGCAGTTCCTTAAGTGTCTTTCAGCCATTTGCAATTCTTCTGTTGAGAATTCTCTGTTTAGATCTGTACCCCATTTTTTTTTTTGGTTAAATTATTTGGTAATTTGATGTTTAGTTTGAGTTCTTTATATATTTTGGAGATCAGTCCTCTGTCTGATGTGGGGTTGGTTAAGATCTTTTCCCATTCTGTAGGCTGCCATTTTGTCTGACTGACCATGTCTTTTCTCTTGCAGAAGCGTCTCAGTTTTAGGAGGTTCCATTAATTAACTGTTGCTCTCAGTGTCTGTGCTACTGGTGTTATATTTAGGAGGTGGTCTCCTATGCACATGCGTTCAAGGCTACTTCCCACTTTCTCTTTAATGAGGTTCAGTGTGGCTGGATTTATGTTGAGGAATGGCATCCTTTTAAAAAAGACACGCTATCTCAAGAAAGTCAAAATGAATTTATATAGGCAAATATAGTCAAACAAGGGCAGACCCTAAATATACACATCCTTACTCTTCCTTGGAAATCCTCCTATACTTGTATTTCAAAGAAAAAACAACCAACCAACAAAAAATTATCCAAACTTCTCAAACTCAGCATGAGTACCACTTTAAGTTTCTCTGATTGAAGCTCTAAGAAATGATTTGTCCAAGATCACAATGGAATATCTGTCCTGGTCTAGCAACTGTTAAGTCCAAGATGTTTCCATAACACAACTGCATCTATTCAACCAAAACACAGAAGAGCACTGGGACAGAAATGTTAGTGGGGGAAGGGAGTAACCTACATTTCAATTTTCACTGTAACTGAAATTCAATCAGTAATAAATTTTATTCCAGTTAATTGTAAAACAAGCAACTTGCTACTTAGGATTAAATTTTTTGTCACAAAAATAAATATACTTATTTAGGCAATAATTATATATAAGTAATGAATTAGATCTATCAAAATCATTTTGAATTTATATTTAAATTAACTTGTCTATTCATCTTTTTAAAATTTATTTTTCTTATTTGATAATGTGTGTGTGTGTGTGTGTGTGAATGAGTGTGCACAAAGAGGTAAGAAGAGGGCAGTAGATCACCTCAAGTTAGAGTTATAGGCAACTGTGAACCATCTGATATGGTGCTGGGAACTGTAGTTGGTCCTCTGGAAGAGCAGGAAGCACACTTAACTGTTGAGTCATCTCTCCAGGTTCCTAATTAATTTGCTTTATCTTTTTTAAACAGGGTCTCACTGTAGCCTTGGCTGGCCTGGAACTCTCTATTCAGGCCAGGCTATCCTCTAACTTAGAGAGATCCACCTGTCTCTGCCTCTGCCTCTCGAGTGCTGGGATTAAAACCACACACCACGATGCCCAGCCATTTATCCACTTTTAAAAACTAGTTAAGATACAGTTCACATATTATATGTTTATTCATTTAGATTACATGAATCACTTCAGAATGTAATACTAACAGAGTTGCACAACCATCACCATATGTTAAAGTTTCAGTGTCGTCATAGAAAAGGAAGCTTAGTGATGGAGATGGCTCAGTGGGTAAAAGTGTCTGTTGTATAGCAATGATGGCCTGCATTTGGATCCCCAGTTCCCACATAAAAACCAGGAGTAGAGGCATGTGTCTAACCCAAGCATCTAGGGAGCACGGTCCATGGGGGAAGGGGTTTGGTGTGGCGGGAGGATGGAGACAGGTGGGTCCTTTGATTGAAACGGTAAGTTTCAGAATAAAATATTATGAGAGTCCCTGTCTCAAAAACCAAGGTATGAAAGTTATCAAGGTCTGACATCCAATGTCAACCTTTAGATGACACATCTATCTGTACATCCACGGAGCAGGAGACCCGCATACACAAGAGAAAGAAAGAAAAGGAGAAAATAAGATACACCTTGTATCTATTAGCTATCTTTCTCATTTTTTCATTTTTTCTACTTCTGGAAATTACTAATTTCTTTGTTCTTTGCCCTGAACATTTTAATGAGCAAAACAGTAAACCATATGATCATTGATGTCTGACTTCTCTCAAGTATGATTCTAAGGTTTTCCTGTAATGTAACATGTATCAGGACTTGACTTCTTTATGGATACACACACACACACACACACACACACACGGCTAAGCACCACACAACATGTCCGTCCACAGTCAACTACAATATTGGTACAGTCTACTTTGTTTGTACAGATGCATTTCTTACAAACTATCTCTATAAGTGACTACTACAGTGTGTTTACCCACTCTTTTAAATAAAAAAAAGATAAATATTTGGATTGTTTTTACTTGGAGCTATGATCAATAATGATGCTTAACAGTCATGTTCCAGCTTTCCTATGAACATGGTTCATTTGGGGTGGAATTGTTGGGTCACATAACTCTGTTTAACGTAAAGCTTGTCTGGGTGGTTCATGACTTCTTTTCACTTTAAAAACTGTGTGTGTGTCTCTCTCTCTCTCTCTCTCTGTGTGTGTGTGTGTGTGTGTGTGTGTGTGTGTGTGTGTGCCCATGCACATGCAGGTGCCCATGGAGACCAGAGGAGGAAACTGGATCCTCAGGTGCTGGACAGAGCTTTACAGTACACAACATGAGCTTTAGGAACTGAACCCTGGGCCTCCACAAGCACAGCAAGCACTGGTGACCAAGGAGTCATCCTGCTAGTCACCATTTCATTTCCTTTTTAAATTTATTTTTTATTTTTTATTATTGGGGGGGAGTGCTCTTTCCCTCTCGGCCTGTTGGCCACTAGTGGCAACAGAAAGCTCTGTAGGCAGCCCATGAGCATGAACAGAGAGAGGCCTCCAGGAGACAGAATTCAGTGAATCAGCTCAACTTTATTCCAGAGTATAAGGAATATCTAGTATTGGAGAGCCTGGGGACAAACAGTAATTTGCATTAAATGGCACACTCCTATCATAAGGCTCTTAGCACAAGTCTTAGTTATCATATGTGCACCAAGGGAGCCTTCTAGCAGAGATCTATGTCAGGGTTCAAGCTAAAGATAAGTCAGGAATCTGGTGTAGAGATGGGCACCTGGTTTAGATAAGGTCAGCCCTTCAGGTCCAGGGACAGTCTCTGGATAAGGGCAAGTAGAGGCAGGAAGTTCTGCTGGAGGGAGGGAGCCCTATGCTGCCAAGCTATTGAGATAAGCTGCCAGGCCAAGGGGAGACTGTAACCTCTACCAGTCAGCAAAAATCTTCCAGCATTTTATGGGTATGAACATTTGCCTCAATTACATAAGTGCACCATGTGGATCCCTGGTGCCCTGAGGAGTTAGAAGAGGATATTAAATCCCCTGGAACTGGGGTTACAGATGGCTTTGAGACATCATGTAGGTTCTGGGAACTGAAACCCCCCAGGTACTCTGCAAGAGCAGTGAATGCTCTTAACCCTTACGTCACTTCTCCAACTCTTTCTTTTTACTTTCTTGATGGCATATTGTATATACAAGGTTTTTAAGTTTGATGATGAAGCTAGCTTGTACTTAAGACATTTTTATCTAGGACATTTCTGCCAAGGTCACAAAGACTTATTCCTTTAAAAAAAATTTCCCTTTTTGTAGTTTTAGCTCTTATACTCGGGTCTCTGATCCACTTATATAAAGAAGAAGTGAGCTAACTTCATTAATTGGAATGTGGACATTGATACTCCTCTATTCTTCTTTTAAGTTAGTGTTTCTAGGCAAAGTTTTCTACACCAAGAGAAAACAGTTTAGGTAATCTGATGAGAAAAAAAAGAGGTGTGTATTAGTACTTAACGGATGACTGGGCCTCACAAATACTGGAATAACAATCTAGATTGTTTTCTTCTACATTTTTCTTTCCATCTACACCATTTTATCTCTGTGGACCAGCCTCTTCCTGTTTCTCCCAATACAAAGCTGGAAACGACTATAGATATGTTCTAAGTCTTTACAATTTCTAATTAAGACTAGCTGTTACTGACTCATAAAAGTCCAGCAAGCTGCAGCCAAAGTCTATTTTCATCCTTGATCCTATTACATGTGGTTAAAAAGAGAAATGGCCACAAGTAGGACACAAACATCATCGGAGAAAGCAGCACAGCACCTGTCAGAGAGAAGTGAGCTCTAAGAGAAGTGGACTTCCAAGAACTGGGTAGACATGTCCCTCCTGCAAGCATTCTCTTTGCTAAAATCTCTTAGAAAACAGACAATGCAAAGAAAACAACGGGTATTCTACTACAACAGCA